AGCTGCACAGAAGTCCTACAACCAGGGAACTAAAGAAGCATCAAGATTGGTAGGAGGGCCGGAAGGGCGGATTGGGGCTGAATCCTGAAGACTCGGCCACAGTCCCATGGTTTAAACCCGGGAGGGATATCTCAGCGGTGGAGGTTTCCCAGAGGAGTGAGGGGTCCCAGCCCCACATCAGGCCCCCAGCCCAGGGCTCCAAGGCCGGGAAGAGAAGTCCCCACAACTTCGGGCTGTGAAAAACAGCGAGGACTGTCACTGAGGGACGCAAGACTGCAGGAGTCCCAGGCTTTCCTCTTACAGGGCCGGCACACAGACTCATTCAGACATGCTCCCTCTGAGCTCCAGAGCCGGGCAAGCAGCGTGAAAGGAACCTGGGACACTTGGGGAGGAACTAACTTGCCTGAAATTGGGGCGAGAGCTGAAGGGGCAGCTTTCTCCCAGACAGAAGAGCTGGCAGAGGCCATTGCTCCTTTGGCAAGCCCTGCCACCACAGAGACAGCAGGCAGGCGCCATATTTGAATCTCCAGCACCTGGCTCACACCTTTGTCCCCACCCTATTGATTCCCGGAGACCGNATGACATAATAAAGTACCATTCAGAAATGAAGGCTACACGAACTGAAATGAATAATTTACAGGGAATCAACAGTATGGTAGAGGACACTGAGAATCAAATCAGCAATTTGGAACATCAGGCAACAAAAAACACTCAACCAGAAGATCAAAAAGAAAAAATAATCCAGAAACATGACATTGAAAACCTATTTAAAAAAATAATGACAGAAAACTTCCCCTACCTGGGGAAAGAAATAGACTTACAAGTCCAGGAAGCACAGAGAGTCCTAAACAAGAAGGACCCAAAGAGGCCCACATCGAGACACATCATAATTAAAATGCCAAAGGTTAAAGACAAAGAGAGAATCTTAAAAGCAGCAAAAGAAAAGCAGTTAGTTACCTACAAGGGAGCACCCATACGACTGTCAGCTGATTTCTAAACAGAAACCTTGCAGGCCAGAAGGGAGTGGCTAGAAATATTCAAAGTGATGAAAAACAAGAACCTACAACTAAGATTACTCTACCCAGTAAGCTATCATTTAGAATTGAAAATCAGATAAAGAGCTCAGACAAGGAAAAGCTAAAGGAGTTCATCACTACCAGACCAGTACTACATGAAATGTTGAAGGGTCTTCTTTAAGAAGAAGCTAATAAACAAAAGGACCTCACAAATGAAATAGATCCAGAGACATTGACGCATGCAACAGATGATCATATTTCAGAAGGAAGGGGAAAGAGGGGTGGAGGGTGGGAAGAGATTAACCAAAGAAGTTATATGCATATATGTATAACCCATGGACACAAACAATAACGGGGTGAAGGCCTGGGGAGGGGGTGGGAGTGAGTTGGGGGGGTCAATTGGAGGGGAAATGAGACACCTGTAATACTTTCAACACTAAAGATAAATTTTTTTTAAAATGTATAACAAGGAAATAGGATGTTGATTATTTATTAGTCAGAAATCAGTGGCAAAATCAGCTATGATTATTCATTCACTTCTAAATGCGATATAAACATCAACTATCTACTGCTGGTCTCCACAATGGAAATAGGCAGTGAACCCTTAAGTCTAGCTGCCATCTTCCTCTGAATATTCTCTTAGAGCTATATTTTTATAATCTTTGGACTAAAAGCAACTTTTCTGGTGGTGGTTTTAGCATTTCTATAGAAATGAAACTGCATAGAAGTAGTCATGCTGTGATGATTTTAACAGACTTAAGTGGAGTTGGTAGTATCAATAAGTGGTGGAAAAATGACATTTCCAATCATAAACTATAAGTTGACTGGGTTTAGGTAACAATTTATTATAAACTATTTTAAAGAATTTTGCCTAAAATAATTTTTCATTTTCTTTCCTCTTACAGTCACGTTCTATATCTAGTTCCCCTGTGATGGTAACTCAGCCTGTTTATCAGCAATCTGCGTATCACTACCAGGTAAACATTAAATTATACAGTGAAAATCCTTGATAATTTTAGTCCTTTTTTGAGTAATTTTCATTTTATTCTTTCTCATGCAAATACTCTAGTAATTTAGAAAGAGATAGTTAAGCCTTTGATAGCAGTGGTTTTTGTTTTGGGGGGGTTTTATGAGAGAAGTAAACTATGTCTTACAGGAAGATGGACTACTTGCTTCCTTTTACAAAAGGTAATGAGATTAGTTTCCCTCGCACCCCCTGGCTAGCATTTAANGGCTTTTCTATGCAAGTGGCCTCTCAAGCCTCATGCTTAGGATTTTCCTAAAATCTCTCAAGTCACAGCATGTCCTGTACCACTTGATAAGTGGCCCCNATCTAAAAAGTCTTTAGAAATAATTCCTTAGGTAAGACACAGATATTCGACCACAGGCTGAATTTTTAATGTTGCTGTTAACATGTTAGTTTCTTGTTATTATATTTAATATAGAGTTGACCCTGNCGGCCTGGCACTAGTGGCAGCCTGTATTGGTTCATGGCTTGGCCTCTCCTGGACACCTCCAAGTCCAGCACAAGTAGCAGCCAAGTACAGTTTGCTGTGTAGTTGGGTGGCCCTGGGCAAGGCACTGGCACAGGCTGACTTTGCACCTCCCAGGAGCCCCAGAGACAGTGCACCTGGTGGTCAGACTCAACCATGCTGGATTCTAACCCTAACACATCCACAAGTTACACACTCAATGGGCGTACTTGGTGAACACCAAAGCTCCACTGAAGTAAATCCTGCTACATTGTAGCTGCCAAATTGACCTGGGGGTCAGTTCCTCCCAGTGACGCCAACAGCAACCAAGACTCAACTACAACAGGACAGTGCACACAGCCCACACAGGGGAGCACCTAGAAGGCCCAGCTCAGGTGACTGGGGAGGCTGAGCCACTGGACCCTACAGGACACCTACTACACAAAGCCACTCTGCAAATTCCAGGAGACATAGCAGCTCTACCTAATACATAGAAACAAACACGTGGAAGCAGCCAAAATGTGGAGGCAAAGAAACATGTCACAAAGGAAAGAACAGAAGAAATCTCCAGAAAAGGAACTACATGAAATAGAACCAAGCAAGCTACTAGATACAGAGTTCAGAATTATGGTTGTAAGGATGCTCAAGGATATTGGTAAGACTATTACAAAAACAAATGAGAAAATCGATGACATAATAAAGTACCATTCAGAAATGAAGGCTACACGAACTGAAATGAATAATTTACAGGGAATCAACAGTATGGTAGAGGACACTGAGAATCAAATCAGCAATTTGGAACATCAGGCAACAAAAAACACTCAACCAGAAGATCAAAAAGAAAAAATAATCCAGAAACATGACATTGAAAACCTATTTAAAAAAATAATGACAGAAAACTTCCCCTACCTGGGGAAAGAAATAGACTTACAAGTCCAGGAAGCACAGAGAGTCCTAAACAAGAAGGACCCAAAGAGGCCCACATCGAGACACATCATAATTAAAATGCCAAAGGTTAAAGACAAAGAGAGAATCTTAAAAGCAGCAAAAGAAAAGCAGTTAGTTACCTACAAGGGAGCACCCATACGACTGTCAGCTGATTTCTAAACAGAAACCTTGCAGGCCAGAAGGGAGTGGCTAGAAATATTCAAAGTGATGAAAAACAAGAACCTACAACTAAGATTACTCTACCCAGTAAGCTATCATTTAGAATTGAAAATCAGATAAAGAGCTCAGACAAGGAAAAGCTAAAGGAGTTCATCACTACCAGACCAGTACTACATGAAATGTTGAAGGGTCTTCTTTAAGAAGAAGCTAATAAACAAAAGGACCTCACAAATGAAATAGATCCAGAGACATTGACGCATGCAACAGATGATCATATTTCAGAAGGAAGGGGAAAGAGGGGTGGAGGGTGGGAAGAGATTAACCAAAGAAGTTATATGCATATATGTATAACCCATGGACACAAACAATAACGGGGTGAAGGCCTGGGGAGGGGGTGGGAGTGAGTTGGGGGGGTCAATTGGAGGGGAAATGAGACACCTGTAATACTTTCAACACTAAAGATAAATTTTTTTTAAAATGTATAACAAGGAAATAGGATGTTGATTATTTATTAGTCAGAAATCAGTGGCAAAATCAGCTATGATTATTCATTCACTTCTAAATGCGATATAAACATCAACTATCTACTGCTGGTCTCCACAATGGAAATAGGCAGTGAACCCTTAAGTCTAGCTGCCATCTTCCTCTGAATATTCTCTTAGAGCTATATTTTTATAATCTTTGGACTAAAAGCAACTTTTCTGGTGGTGGTTTTAGCATTTCTATAGAAATGAAACTGCATAGAAGTAGTCATGCTGTGATGATTTTAACAGACTTAAGTGGAGTTGGTAGTATCAATAAGTGGTGGAAAAATGACATTTCCAATCATAAACTATAAGTTGACTGGGTTTAGGTAACAATTTATTATAAACTATTTTAAAGAATTTTGCCTAAAATAATTTTTCATTTTCTTTCCTCTTACAGTCACGTTCTATATCTAGTTCCCCTGTGATGGTAACTCAGCCTGTTTATCAGCAATCTGCGTATCACTACCAGGTAAACATTAAATTATACAGTGAAAATCCTTGATAATTTTAGTCCTTTTTTGAGTAATTTTCATTTTATTCTTTCTCATGCAAATACTCTAGTAATTTAGAAAGAGATAGTTAAGCCTTTGATAGCAGTGGTTTTTGTTTTGGGGGGGTTTTATGAGAGAAGTAAACTATGTCTTACAGGAAGATGGACTACTTGCTTCCTTTTACAAAAGGTAATGAGATTAGTTTCCCTCGCACCCCCTGGCTAGCATTTAATCTAAAAAGTCTTTAGAAATAATTCCTTAGGTAAGACACAGATATTCGACCACAGGCTGAATTTTTAATGTTGCTGTTAACATGTTAGTTTCTTGTTATTATATTTAATATAGAGTTGACCCTGGAACAGTGAGGAGATTAGTGCACTGACTGCTACCACACATTCGAATATCCAAGTATAACTTTTGAGTTCTGGGAATTGGTTCCAGGACCCATCCCCACCCCCCATGGATACCAAAATCCTTGGGTGTTTAAGTCGTTTGTATAAAATGACGTAGAACAATGCCTACAGTCTATCCTTTACATCCTTGGATTTCCAACTACAGATTGTAAATGCTGTTTTCACTCCTCTATTGGTTGAATCCATATATACAAAAGCTGGAGATATGGAGGGCCAATATTTATATAAATGGACACGCATTTCAAACCTTGTTGTTCAAAGGTCAAGTGTAATATACATTAAAATAATGGTTATATTGTGATTATATTATGACAGCATCTTTTGGTTAACCTGCATTCTTCTTTTCATTAATTCTTATGGGAGACTGGGATCAGTGAACTGTAATGCCAGACTATTTTAATGTTTTATAAATAAGGCACAGTTGAACTACAGCCATATATGTCTACATACTGTCTATGGCTGCTTTTGTGCTACAGTGGCACAATTGAATACTTAAAACAGAGATATTATGACTGGCAAAACTTAAAATATTTATTCTCTGGATAACTTTCCAGAAAAAGTTTGCCAACCTCTAGTCTGTGGCATTCACAAATAAAACCACATTCTTTCATACCTCTGAAATAGTGAAAGAGAATTCATTTGTTTATTTTTTATTATTCTTTTTGAACTTTTAAAACAGACCCACATGAAAATGTTAAGGTTATTGGAATTCTTTTTAGTATTAGACTGGATTTGGGGGAGGTCACTTATTACTAAATTATATTACTATGCTAAAAATAAAACTATCTGAAGTGTTTCTTTCTTTTACTAAAAATAGAAGTAACTTAGTGGCATTTATTTAAAATATATATGTTGCATGAGTTTCCCTAAACTGCCTCAGAATTTCAGGAGAGGCCCTAAAGACAGAATATTAGGTACCAGACCATTTAACATGAGAAGCCAATTGTGAAACCAGTTTTGCCCACCTTGAGCACATATGAGGGGAGGATGAGATTGATAAGATTGGTAAGGAAGAGGCTTTCTTTAACAAGAGAGTTGTTAAGAGTGCTACGGCATTTCCCCTTCTCAACCAAGTGAAGAAGACTTCCGAAAATGTCTAAGAGAACTTAATATTCCCTTGAAATTTGTGAGGTGGTACTACTTGGACCTGACCTCTCCTAGTTAAAAATATGGAGGGGTCTATGGAGGCAGAGCCCCTAGAGAAGGTCTATAGCGGAAATGTGTTAAACTTCTACTCACAGCAAGCAAAGGTTTATGTTTCCCAAGAGCAAGGTGTGAACTTAACAGAAGAGACTCTTTCCAAAAAAACTTTAAGGTGACCCCAATAGAGAAATAATCTGTGTGAAGTAAACTTCTAGAATCAAGGGCTAGAATTGCAGTCAAAAGTTCTCAGCAGGGAGATCACCAAAGAATCTAGTAAAGTACCTATTTAGAGGGTCAGCATTTGGAATCTTCCACACCCCAAAAAGTGATCTGTCCTAATTTTTATCCAAGCACAAGAATGAGCAGCTCAACAATGTTTTTATTTTTTATTTTTTTTAAACATATCCTTACTGATTTCAGGGAGAGGGAGAGAGAGATAGAAACATCAATGATGAGAGAGTCATTGATCAGCTGCCTCCTGCACGCCCCCGACTGGGGATCGAGCCCGCAACCTGGGCCTGTGCCCTGACCAGGAATTGAACCCTGATCGCCTGGATCCTAGGTCGACGCTCAACCACTGAGCCACGCCTGGCCAGGCTCAACAATGTTTTTAAAATAGCATAATGAAAAAGAGTAAAGTTGCTTTTTGTTTGCACCCTATTGAGTCCAGCTCCTTTTTGATTAATTAACATACAGCTGTAGCCCACTTGACATAGCAAATGTATTATGGAAATTTTCTAATACATTTTAATTTTATACTTCAAATCTGGTTTTCTACTTGATGCAAATTATAAAATTGGAAGTATGTTACCTAGATATACTCAGGAAAGATTTTGGTACCAATTTGTAATATATTTTACAATATAAGAAATAATTTCACTTCACATATTTCTTTTCAGTTATATATTCATCGTCATTCTGCCCTTAAAAATTCCCACTTTGATAAGAATAGTCCCTTGCTCTTTCTTTTTACGAATTCTAAGATTAATAGCTTTATTGGTTTTTGTTAGTCAAATCAGTCAATTCAAGGTTTAATCAGTTTTTATCTCCTTTGTATTTCTCACTTCATAAGTAGATAGTGATTTCATTTATCTAACAAATCTACATATAAATCATTTTATTTCAGATGTTTTTATTAAAATATTTTCTTAAGAGATTATACATTACCCTGCCTTTCTGAATGTAGTATACAGAACATAAACTTCACATTATCTTGGTCATCATTACAGTATAGTGATTTCATTAGCAGTTGAAATGGTCAGCACTAAACTAATAGTGATTTGGTTTAGACAGCAGCTCTATGGGGTCTTCTCATTCTTTTTTTTTTCTTTAGTAATAAAGGACTTTATTAAAAATGGAAAATAAAGATGAAAACATTTATTAATAAGAAATAATACAACTAATTTAAGAAAAAGTCTGTTTTATGTTGTCATATTACAATAAGTACTTTAAAAAAGGTGACCCTCTTTTTTAAAAAATAACAGCTTTATTTAGATATAATTCAAATACCATAAAATTCATCTATTTAAAGTGTGCAAGACTAGTATTTTACTAAATTCAGAGTTGTGCAACCATACCACAATTTTAGAACATTTTAATCACCACATACACACACACACACACACACACACACACAAATACTACCCATTAGCAGTCACTCCTCTTTCCCTTTACACCCAGCTCTAGGCCACCAGTAATCTCTTTCTTTATATATTTGCCTATTCTGGACATTTCATGTAAGTGGAATCTAAAACATACGGTTTTTTCATCATAGGTAGGTATCACTAATAATGTCTATTTATTATTTGGTTGAGTACCCCTTATTTATTATTTATTTTCCCTTTATTTTGATGTTTTCCTTAATTACTGGTTAAAGAAAATGAACATTTTATGTTCTTAAAATTGTCAATTTGGAAAAGCCATTCTTTATTAATATTAAATTATACAAGGAAAAAATGTAGGAAAATGCCCCTCCCAAAATTTATATTTACCTTTTCTTCTTTGATTAAAACAATTTTCTTCAAACATCAACATTCAAAATAAAAATATCATTTAATCCTCCCCAAAAATAAAGTAAAATAAAATGTGATCTCTTATGACTATTCTTTCACCTAACATAATATTTTCACTATTTGTCCATGTGGTAGCATGTATCAGTGTTTCATTCCTTTTTATGGCTGAACAATATTCCATTATATAGATACACTACATTTTGTTTATCTGTCAGAAGATGGACATTTGGATTGTTTTTACTTTTGACTGTTATAAGAATTCTGCTATGAATACCTGTGTACAAGTTATTGTGCAGACATGTTTTCATTTCTCTTAGGTCTTATACCTTGGAGTGGAATTACTGAGTTCATAGGATATGTCTGTGTCTAACCTTTTGATGTCACACTGTTTACCAAGAAGGCTGCACCATTTTACACCCCTACAAGCAGTTTATCAGAATTCTGATGTCTTCACATCCTTGCCAATACATTGATTTTAATGTTGTTGAAGTTCAGCTTATCTTTTTTCTCTTTTGTTGCTTTGTTGCTTCTGCTTTTGATGTCATAATTTTAAAAATTTGCCGGATTCAAAGTCACAAAGATTTGTGCCTGTTTTCTTCTAATCGTTTTAAAGTTCTAGGTCTTAATTTTAGTCTTGGATCCATTTTGAGTTAATTTTTGTATATAGTTTGAGATATAGGGGCCCAACTCTATTTTTGGCATTTAGATATCTAGTTTTAACCCTGTTTATAATCCTCAGGGTCTTTTTTCTTTCATTTTAGGCCCCTACACAGTGTCTACCAGGTCAGTGGCAGTGGAGTGTTCCTCAGGTAAATACTAACTTTTTCCACTGTGCTTTTGTGAAGACTGCATGAATATTAAAGGCAGGAGAACTAGATTAGATACCTTTGTGTTATTAACTGTGATAGCTTTGGCAGTTTATTTAATCACTATATTTCTCAGCTTCCCCATTTGTGAAATGGAAGTAATGATATTACTGTACCTTTGTAAGTTTTCTCATGATTTTTGTGACGATCAAATGAGACTATGTAAGTGAAGACATTTTATAAATGAGTGAGTTTTGCATAAACATGAAAAATTAATTCTTTTTTATTAGTATTGGACATTTTAACATTTTTCTAGCCTTACTTAAATACCGTAGGTTATATTATTACAACCTTTAATAGTGATCTTAATATAATTATCTGAGTTTATAAATGAGGTTCTGAAGGACTGAGAACTTTTAGTACTTACTAGTGATAGAGTTCTTTTTTTCTTTTCTTTTTTAATCTATCTTTATTGATTTCAGAGAGAGGAAGGGAGAAGGAGAGAGAGAGTTGAAACATCAATGATGAGAGAGTCGTCATTGATTGGCTGTCTCCTGCATGCCCCCGCTGGAGATTGAGCCCCCAACCTGGGCATGTGCCCTGACTGGGAATTGAACCTCGATCTCCTGGATCCTAGGTGGATGCTCAACCTCTCAGCCACGCCTGGCCAGGCAGTGATACAGTTCTTTAATAACAACTACACAACTGGAATTTATAACATCCCAGAGTTCCTAATTTGTTGCTGAGATATTTCTATGCTATCCCTGAAAAAGAACTTCAGGAAAACATGAAACAAATATTTCATCTGCTGGGTAAGTCATTTGGTTTAATTGAAATAACTAATCATATTTGAATTAGAACTATGGTTTTGTGTTTCAGTCACCTGCCTCTTCTGCTCCATTCCTGTACCTACAACCATCTGAGGTTTTTTATCAACCAGTGGAAATTGCACAAGATGGAGGATGTGTTCCTCCTCCACTGTCTCTGATGGAAGCTTCAATTCCAGAGGTATATATTATTCTCAAAGTAATTTATCTTTACCATCGCATCTTACATTTATTTCCTTTTCTAAAAATACTTGTTCAAGACCCTCACTGAAGCTGCATGTCTTATGTTTTATTTGATCTCTTCAGCTCTGTCCTTTTCTGTATCTAAGAGTGCTTCATCTTAGACTTCTTCACTAACTAGTTCACAATCATTTCTCACGTCAACTGTTCACTTTACTAGGCTAATTCCTGACCCAGCCTCCTTTAAAAGAGGAAGATACCAAATACTTCTTGTGATTTGTCTGTCAATATTATTGCTAACATTCTGTCAATTAAAAGCATATAAAAAGTAAGTCAAGAAAAAAATATTTTGCCCCTCCGGGCATGGCTCAGAGGTTGAACATCAACCTAGGATTCAGGAGCTCATGGTTTGATTCCCGGTCAGGGCACCTGCCCAGGTTGAGGGCTCAATCCCCAGTCAGGGGCGTGCAGGAGGCAGCCACTCAATGAATCTCTCATCATTGATGTTTCTCTCTCTCTCCCTCTCCTTTCCTCTCTCTGAAATCAATAAAGATATATTTAAAAATATATACATATTTTAAAAATTCTTTTTTCAGAAGCTTAAATTTATTTTATAGCTACAAATGGTAAATACCATCTTCAGCATCTTTAAATTATATTCCTGAACCACTATTAATAACTACCATCTATTTGCCAGGAACTGTACATGGCATACTTTAAATCAGTATTGTAAAAGATTAGGAAATTAGCACCCACCTCCCAATTAACGCTTATAATATTACAATTTTGTTCTGGAACAATAAATTCCACAGTTGGACCTTAGTGTTTACTAAAAATACCTTTACTAGGATTTCTCCATTCTTTGTCTCATCCTCCATGTATCACTTGTTTGACTGAATCTTCAGGTACTCTTTGTTAAAAGAAGGCTTATGGATGCTATGTTCTTTGAGTTCTTATATGCTTCTTCAACATGTTTTTTGACTATAAATCTGAAAGAAAATAAGACTATCTATAAAATAATTGCATCATACTTGTACTAGTTTACAAAGGCTGATAGAACAAAGTACTACAAACCGGGTGGCTTAAATAACAGAAATTTATTGTCTCCCAGTTCTGAAGGCTAGAAGTCTAAGATCAAGATGTTGGCAGGATTGGTTCTATCTAAGGGCTGTGAGGGAATGATATGTTCCAGGCTCTCTTCTTAGCTTGTAGATTGCCATCTTCTCCCCATGTCTTTACATTATTTTTCCTGTCTCTGTGTCCAAATTTCCCATCTTATAAGGATACCAGTCATACTGAATTAGGTTCCATCCTAGTGAACATACTTCAACTTGGTTAACCTCTGTAAAGACCCTATCTCCAAATAAGGTCACACTCTAATGTACTGAGGGTTAGGACTTTCAGCCTGTAAGGTTTGAGGTAACACAATTCAACCCATAAATACAGGGGTGGGGAACGTCCTGCCTGTGGGCCTTATTTGGTCTGGCCCTGTCCAGCCATCACATTAAGGGTGATTTAACTGAATGTTTGCCCAAATATAGGCGGCTAATTTTTAAATTGATAATTTTGTATGGCCCAGGAATGATGTTTTAAATATCCAGATCGCCCTTGGCAGAAAAATGGTTCCCCGCCCTTGCCATAACAATACTTTTTTCTCTTAAAATTTCCAAGTTTAGTCTTTTCTGGTGTTCAGTGTAGCCATAACAAAGTTTAAAGCTGCCTGATTTTCCCTCTTGTGAATAATTTGCTTTTTCCCCGTGTGCCTAAAAAGTTCTTCTTAACTTGAAGTCACTTCACCAGCATATGTCTTGGAACTTAGCAGTCTTTATAATATTTTTCCTGGGAAACATTTTGCCCTTTTGATTTTCTAACTAGGTTTTAAATATGTGGTCTTTTTGTTTACTTTCTTTTTCCTGTTAGAGCTTTGGAAAAAAATTTGTTCAGGTTCTGTTTCTTTTATAGATCTAAAAGAAAATAAGACTAGCTATAAAATAACTTCACGATACTTTTATTAGTTTACAAGGGCTGATGAAACAAAGTACCACAGTCTGGGTGACTTAAACAGTAGAATACAAATTATACATGTGTTAGATCTCTTTTTGTGTCTCATATCTATCATCTCATAATTTTTTTATCATGGTATTTTATGTTGTTTTATATGATTTTTCAAATAACTATGACTATATTTCTCCTTGTGTTTATTCTATTTTTTATTATGATTAATGAGGCTTTCGTCTCTTAATATTTTTTATCAAAACCTCTGTCACTTTGCTTACATCATTGTCTGTAAATGTCTGTTGGTTTAAAATTTCTGATCCCCTTTTTTAGAGATCGTGTTACTATAATTTCTTTAAGATTCAAAAGCATTATATTTATCTCAACTTTTCTACTTTTTCTAGGGTAATTTCTCATCCTTTTCTTCAGCTTTTGTCTTTCCTTGATGGAGTTGGAGAAGAGGTAGTCTACATGCTTAGGTGGCTCACTTTTCCTTTCTACCTAATCTTTAAAAGATATTTGTCAAAGTATAGGGTGGGAAGAGCAGGTTGTTGTCTGAAGCAGCTTTCCACTATGTTGCTAAGTCTCCTGGTTGAAATGCTCTTCCCCTCAGTTTTTAGCATTCTGGGGATCATTTTCTATATTGGGTTGTAGTAATTGCTACTTCTCTTTCTACTTTCACCCTGTTTCACCTCCAACAGTGTTCCTCAGCTATAAGGCAAGGCAGTAGATAATAAAAATGGTGAAAAAATTATTCCTCCTTCAATTCCACATCCCCTGCTATTAAATAATACAAAATTGGATCACGGTGTAGATATTCCCTGCTTCTGCATTGGCCTGACATATCTCTACACTTGAGGCTCTGAATGGGTCTTTTAGAACACTGATCTTTAGGCAAACCTTTGTTCTTCCTGCTGTCTGAGGAGGCTTCAGTCTTCCCTTATATGGGTCCAAATTGCATAGCATTTGTCAGACATTCTATATTTATGGTTTGGAGATCATGGGTATTTCCTTGTTTAATTGATGATGGCACTTTTTTAAAATCTATCTTTGGTTCTTTATTTTGTTTTCTGGTTTTCAAGGAGAGGGCAGTGAGGTAAGAATTATTTTATAGTAGATTTTTAGCCACAATCTACATTTGGCATTAAACCAGTGGACTCTAAAAAAGATTTTTCTGTAACTATTATTTATATTAGCTTATAACTTATACTATTAATTTTTACAATATTTCCATACAGAATGATATATACATGCTTTTATTTTAATACTGTTTCTGGAAGAAGGTATAGGCTAAAATATAAATTGAGTGGGTTACTAAGTAGAAACCACTTTAGATAGAACCATTTAGCTTTCTGTCAACATTATATCACTACTAGAAGTCCTACAAATACCTCATATTTTATACATTATAAACCTGACTTCTCTCCCACCCCCTTATACACAATTACATAAGCATCAAACTTGCTTTTCCTGTATTCCATATCTCAACAAATGGTCCCACCATCTGTTGGACAAGTCAAAAATCTTTTACATGATCTGTTCCCTACCTTTAGCTCTAATGTCTCATCTTTCAGCTGTCTTTAAGTGTATATTCTTCCTTCCTGCCAAACCAGACAACCTGCGCAGATCTTCCAAATGAGATGAGCTCTTGGTTGCCTCTGTGTCTTTGTACATACTGTTCCCATCTTCTATCCCTAATTCTTCAAATTCAGGCTTCAGCTTCCCTAGAAAACTTTTCCTGACCAAGTTCCCAACTTTCTTAAGTTAAATCAAGTAGTTAAATTATCTTTTCTCCTATGAATCCCTATACATGTCTCATAGGACTTGTAATTTTTTTAAAGTATATTTTTATTGATTTCAGAGAGAGGAAAGGAGAGGGGAGAGAGAGAGAGAAAAATCAATTATGAGAGAGTCATTGATCAGCTGCCTCCTGCACACCCCCCACTGGGGATCGAGCCCACAACCTGGGCGTGTACCCTGACTGGGAATTGAACCATGACCTCCCAGTTTCATAAGTTTGCACTCAACCACTGAGCCATACCAGCTGGACTTATGGTAATTTTGACTACGTCTGTCCCTGATCAGTCTACAAGTCAAAGATAGGGGATGTGTTTTTCATCTGTGTTTCTCCATTGTGTAGCAAAAGGCCTAGTACTTGTAATGCTGAATAAATATTTTGAATTAATAAATGAAAGGTAATATATTTCATTTCTTTTCTTTTCTTGTAATAGCCTTATTCTGATCATGGAGTTCAAGGAACATATCACCAGGTTTATGCCTCAAGTGCCATTGCTATGCCTGCACCTGTGATGCAGCCTGAACAAATTAAAGTAAGAAGTTTGTTTTGACTATTTTTGGGATGGGGGGATTCTTGCTCATATTTTAAGTTTTCCAACTTTCTCTTCTGAAAGGAACAACTTTCGAGATTTATATCCCATGTAATCAGAAGTACATAATTAGTGAACTCTTTCATGTGAAGGAAATAGAATCCCAAATTAACTAATTTCTATTGATTAGTTATGAGCAATTAATAAACCACACATGGTCAAAAATGCCTTATTTACTATGGTAAAAAATATATAACAGCATTTTCTATTCTTAAGTGGAAAACTAAATGGTAATTACTACATCCATATTGCTGTGTAACCATCACAACTATCTATTTCCAAACTTTTAATAATCCCAAATGGAAGCCCTGTACACATTAAGTAGTAACTTCCCATCCCCGCCCCCAGTCCTTGGTAACCTTAAATCTTTCTGTTTTTATGAATTTGCCTAGATATTTCATATACTCAGATTTTTATTATCTATGTTAATCACATGTAAATTTGTGGGGGAAGATCCAAGGTGGCGGCGGAGTATGTTACACTCACCTTCTTCCAGGACTAAACTGGAATTACAACTAAAATATAGAACAGTCAACCTGGATAACTAATTGAAGACAAGCTGAACAGAAGTCTTTTAACCAAGGATTTACTGAAGAAGCCACATCGAGACTGGTAGGAAGGGTGGAGATGCGAAAAGGGCTGACCCTGCTCCCATGGGCAGACACTGAGATTCCAAAGGGATATCTCAGCTGCAAAGGTTCCCCCTGAGAAGAGTGGGTTCTCAACCCCAAACTGGGCTCCCCAGCCCAGAACACTGGATTCGGAAAGAGGCACCCACATAACATCTGGCTGTGAAAATCAGCTGGGATTCTCTCTGCCAGGGAGAGACGGGAGTCTTCCAAGAGACACAGTGCCCTCTTAAAGGACCAATGCACAAAATTTCATTTGCAGCCACTCACCCTGGGCTTCAGCAGAAGGAGGGTGGAGCAGACTAGAGTCTGGTGAGGAGAGACTGGGGTCTTTGGCTCTGGAGAGATAGCAGAAGGGACAGTCACCAGGACCCTTATGCTGAATCTCTTCCCCACACCACAGACACCATATTTCTTGGGTGGGGCACTCACCTTCTTGTGGCATCACCCTGGGGTAATGCAACAGCCCTACCCTCTAAACTCCCTATCGCCTCCACCTTATGGGGCTCATGCCCTACTGAGCAGTCAGCTATCTGGGCTGCAGTGTAGAGGTCTGGGCAGACTCAGAGGTGTCAGTGACTAGTAGGGCTTTGGAGTGAGGGCCATTGCCCTCACTTTTCCATGAACCTATACTAGCCCCTCCCAACTCCTTGTGGACCCTCACTGCCAAGGTCTGGGAAGAATCCAGACAGAGTTGTGTGGCTCTGGGGGAAAGAATCCAGACAGAGTTGTGTGGCTCTGGGGAGGAGCCATTCCTCCCACCTTCCCTAAAACCTGACTGGCACCTCCCTCTCACAGAAGACCTACTAGCCCCACCCTCCCAACCCTGGAAAACCCTTCTTGCTGAGCTCCAGCTCCTGCCAGGATCTTGAACAGACTCATTTGTGTGGCTCTAGCACAGGGGCCATTTTTCTTTCATATGCCTGACCAATGCAGAGCCCTCCCATCACACAGCCAAGTCTTGGTCAGCTTGGGCTAATAAACTCTGCAGGCCTCACCCTGATGACTCTGAGGCCCCAACCTACCACAGAGGTCTGCAGGCAGCCAGCATGGTACAGCTAGACTTACTATATCCTGGGATGTTTGCTGAGTGACCTCAGACCCAGCACTGGCACTGAGTTTCAACATGTATCTGGTGATAACCACTGACCTCTACCTAGTGACTCACTGAGAACCTACCTCATGCAACTCAAGTACCACCGGAGTCTCTTTCAATGACTGAGTCTAATAGGCAGCTGGCAGGTGGAGGCAGGCAGAGGTGGATCTTGGGGTGCATTGAGACTTTTGCACACCTGCCTCCGGGCCTAGTGCTAGTAAAAGCTGGCCTCAGAGCATAGCATGGTCCTTCCCACAGGCCCAAAAAAGGCAGCCACAAACTATATGGCTTTGTAGCTTCAAAGAGATTACCCAGGGCCAGTCACAGAGGCTTCTAACATTCGTCTGCACCAGAGTTCCTCCCAAAGGCCCCAGAACCAGCACAACCTGTAGCCAGCTTTAGACAACAACAGAGTATGATCCAATAAGCTTCACAAGCAGCATATCCACGGGAAGATCTCATCAGGCACCAAAACCTGCTAAGTCAAATTCCACTTCATGTGGTCAGCACCTGCAAGCAGCTTGTACACTAGTTAGGTCGATCCTCACAGTCAGCCAGCCTAAGAGTTGACCCCACACATGAACAGCCAATAGCAATCAGAACTCAATTACAACAGGAGGGCCCACATAATACACACAAGGGACATTCCTGGAGAACCCAGCTGAGGTGATCAAGGAGACTGCACCACTGGGCCCACAAAACAATTACTACCTAAGACCACCCTACCAAGACTGGGAGTCATAGCAGACCTACCTAATACATAGAAACAAACAGAAAGAGGCAGCCAAAACGGGGAGAGAAAGAAACATGCCCCAAATCAAAAAACAGAAGAAATCTTCAGAAACAGACCTAATGGTGGTGGAGGCAAGTAATTTACCAGATACAGAGTTCAAAAAAATGGTTATAAGGATACTTAAAATTAGAACTCGACAAAGAGATAGCAAGCATTAAAAAGGACACAGAGGCCATAAAAAAGGATCAGTAAGAAATGAAGAATATACTACAAGGAATAAACAGTAGATTGGATGGAGAGGATCGAATCAGTGATTTGGAAGAAAAGGTAGCAGAAAACGTGATCAGCAGCAAAAAGAAAATAGAATGAGGACAGTTTCTGTTTGTTTTTTTAAAAATATATATTGATTTCAGAGAGAGGAAGGGAGGGGGAGAGAGAGATGGAAACATCAATGATGAGAGAGTCATTGATCGGCTGCAGCCTGCAACCCGGGCATGTGCCCTGACCAGGAATCGAACCCTGATTGCCGGGATCCTAGGTCGACGCTCAACTTCTGAGCCATGCCCAGCTGGGCCGAATGAGGACAGTTTAAGGAACCTTTGGGACAACATGAAGCATAGCAACATCTGCATCATAGGGGTACCAGGAGGAGAAGAGAGAGTGCAAGGGATTGAGAATTTGAAGAAATAATGATGGAAAACTTCTCTAACTTGGTGAAGGAAAAAGACACACAAGTCCAAGAAGTGCAGAGTCCCAAACAAGATAAACCTAAAGAGTCCCACACCAAAACAAATCATAATTGAAATGGCAAAGTTAAAGACAGAGAGAAAATCTTAAAAACAGCAAGAAAAAGACAGTTACTTACAAGAGAGCTCCCATAAGACTGTTAGCTGACTTCTCAAAGGAAATATTTCAGGCCAGAAGGGATTGGCATGAAAAACTCAAAAGTGATGAAAAGCAAGGACTTAACAGCCAATATTACTTAACCAGCAAGGATATCATTTAAAATTAAAGGAGAGCTGGGCCAGCGTGGCTTAATGATTGAGCATCAACCCATGAACTAGGAGGTCATGATTCAATTTCCAGTCGGCGCACATTGCCTGATTGTGGCCTTGTTCCCCAGTAGGGGGTGTACAAGAGGCAGCTGATCACTGACTCTCTCTCCCTCTCCTTTCCTCTCTCTGAAGTCAATAAAAATAAATTAAATAAAATTGAAGGAGAGCTCTGGCCAGTGTGGCTCAGTTAGTTGGAGCGTCGTCCCCTACACCAAAAGGTGGCAGGTTCAGTTCATGGTCAGGGCATATACCCAGGTTATGGGTTCAGTCCCCAGTCAGGGCACGTGTGAAAGGTGGCCAATCAGTGTTTCTCTCTCTCTCTTTCTCCTTCCTCTCCTTCTCCCTCTCCCTCTCTTTCTCCCCCCACCCTTCTGTCTTTCAAATCAATAAAAACATATCCTCAGGTGAGGATTAAAAAATACTTTCTTAAAAAAAATTTGAAGAACAAATAAAGAGCTTCCCAGACAAGAAATAGCTAAATGAGTTTGTTGCAACCAAATCAGTATTACAAGAAATGTTAATGGGTTTGCTTGAAGAAGAAAAAGACTTAGAAGAAGAACAACAGATGAACATAGTTAAAAGAATAAAATGGTGGAGATTAAAGGGGACGGCAGACTGAGTGGAAGCTACACTGACACTCTCCCAGGACCAATCTGGATTTACAACTAAAACATAGAAAAACCATCCTGAAAACCAGCTGAAGACGAGCTGGAGAGCACCCTCATAACCAAGGAGGAAAAGTAGAGACCACATAGAGACTGGTAGGAAGTGCGGAGGTGCAAGAGGGCTGGCTAGGCTCCCACAGGCAGCAGCTGAAGGTTCAGAGGGATATCTCAGCCATGGGAGTTTCCCACTGAAAACTCTGGGGCCTAAACCCCAGGCTGAGCTTCCCAGCCAAGAGCACCAGAACTGAGAAAAGTGCCTACATCTAGCTGTGAAAAGCAGCCAGGTTTCTGTTTGCCAGGGAGAGATGGCTGGAAATGCAGGCACTGTCTTAAAGAACCAACGCACAAAGTTTCATGTGCAGCCACTCACCTTGGGCTCCAGCAGAGGGAGGGCAGAGTGGACTGGAGCTGTGTGAGGAGAATCTAGGGTATTGGGCTCTGGCGATAGAACTCAGAGGGCACCTCTCTGGACTACTGCAGAGGCAGACATTTACCTTCCAAGCAGCTTTTGCCTGAGGGGGAAGCAATTGCCCCAACCTGCTGGAAAACCTCTCACCTTACCCAGTGGAGTTTCTACAGCCCGAGGCTCATTAAGAGACTCATAATAGTCAGCCTCTCCACCCTGCAGAGTCTCTACAGCCTGAGACTCATTAAGGAATCAGCCTGCAGGCAGAGGCAGACTTCAGAGTGCTTTTAGTCTTTGCCTGATCTGCTGCCTGACCTGGGCCTTGGAAAAGCAGACTTT